ATACCCTGTTTCTCATGTTTGGGTGTAAAATCTATCTACAGTCAAGCCAAGACTCTCCTCACCAGTTGTTCCTGTGGGAGGTGTTCTGGACTGCAGTGGCAGCGGATGTGTATGGTGGGTGGGCTGCGCTGTGGGCACCACTGGGTATCCTGGGCAGCACGCTGCACACCTCTGGCTTGAGCAGGAGGCTCATCAGCACTGCAGGGCTGCACTTGGCTGGTGGTGGGTAAAGGTGGGGTGGCTAAGAGCTGAAGGGTCGGGATTCTAGTCAGCTGACACCTGAAGGACATCCAGGCCGAGCTGGGGAGAAGGAAAAAGCAACCAAAAAAGAATGAGGAGGAGAGAGAGGGAGAGAAAGGAAAAGAAAGGATGAAGACACTGAAAAGTGGAGTGAGAGGAACAGAAAACGCAGAGCAGAGGGGTGTCTGGTAGGCGAGGACTGAATACTATCTGTGGGAATCTTCATCAGTGCCCTCAGCAGCCTGAGAAAAGGCCACTTCTCTGAAAGGGATTCTCTAATGCTTAATTAGCCTACATCACATGTTTGATGACTGTCTTTTAAAAATTTGAATTTCTTATCTGATAGGCCAATTTCAGACTCTTCTGAGCATTTTCTTTTTCATTTTTGAGTGTCTTTTTATCCCATTTGAGGCCTGATTTTTTAGTATTTTAGGGACTATTTTAGCCAAATAATGCAGAAATGTCCATATTAGTTGAATGAGCTAAAAAATTCTGAAAATGCTCAAAAGCAGTCTGAATACTGAAAGATGCCTAAGCTGTAAAAATACCTAAGGATCACAACTATTATACAGTACATGAAATGTTAGCAGTGTGATCCTGCTTGATCTTCAAAATAGGAACTTTAGACAAGTTTTTTGTTGAATTGATATGAAACAAACTTACCCAGAGCTATTTGACCATCTTTTACTAGAGCCTCCCTGACTGGAAATTTTGCTCTGATCATTGCCCAACTCCCTGCCTCCTTCAGCATCTTGTTTTAGTTCATTCATTCAATCATTCACTAACTCACCAAGTCAGGGAACTGCTATGGATCAGCCTTAGGTAAGGAAACAGGGAATACGGTGAGATACAGACAGCCATGGGGACACACTCAGTCATGGGAAGGGGTAGCCTGGGAAGGGGTAGCCTGGGAAGGCTTTCTGGAGGTGGTGAGGCCCGAGCAGATTGCTGAAGG